TTTCATTGGTTACAAAATATAACTCGAAATCCGCTCCTTGCCCGATTATGTTACACTTTTCTTGCCATGCATGAACGAATCTGGCGTCCTTCCTTAGGCTCTAAAACAGTCTAGTCTTCAAGGTAAAATAAACAACAGGCCTTTGCAGACTGCCAGAAATAGTGCACATTAAATTGAGGCACTGCCCTGGCTCAGTGCTAGGGAGTCATGGGAATTGTATTTTTTTCTGAGACATTGAGCCTTCTCTGTCAGAGAGCTCTGGTGCCACAATAAATTACAGTTCCCATGATTTCCTAGCACTGAGCCAGGGCAGTGCCTCAATTTAATGTGCACTATTTCTGGCAGTCTGCAAAGACCCAACATCCCTCTGTTATCTCAAACAACATTTTTTTTTGTTAACTCAAACAGTGAAACAGAGCTGAAAAGCCATTTACAAACTGCTCTGCAAATGCACAGTTTTAAACATAGAAAATGAGACCCCAAGGGTCATCCAATCCAGCCCTGAATTAGCCATGAGTTTTGTAGTTTCTTTAACAATTTTTTTCCATCTCTTACACTAGAGATCCCTAGAGAGAACATATTAATCAAAGGCACAAATAACCAAATCGCCAGAAGTCAAAGCCGCAACTGTGGAGGGCCGAGCGTACTTACGAAGGAATCGCAGAGCACCACCACCACATTAGGCTCCCCACAAGGGCCATGGGTGCAGAGCAGAGGCCTGGCCTTCGCCCCTCTCCAAGATGGCAACCCAGAGAGCAGGAGGAGCAAGGCAAGGGCCTGGAGGGGGCTTGGGCCCATGTCTTCCTGAAAATCACCCCTCAAGGGCTGCTGCTCAAGAGGAGCCTTCCTGCTTCAAAATCCCCTCCTTGAACCATCCTGCTTTTGCACTCAGACTGCCAGAAATAGTGCAAATTGAGTCCATTGTTAACTGCCCTGGCTCAGTGCTGGGGAATCATGGGAAGTGTAGTTTATTGTGGCACCAGAGCTCTCTGACAGAGAAGGCTCAATGTCTCAGGAAAAAAAAACAATTCCCATGATTCCCTAGCACTAACCCTAACCCTAAAAGTGGACTCAATTTGCACTATTTCTAGCAGTCTGCAAAGGCCCAAAGTGCCTCCTGACTGACTGGGGATTTCCTTCCTTCCACTTTGCACCCGCTGGACTTTCCAAGAGGAGAAGCTCGTGGATGTCAAGTGACAGGGTCAGTGTTTCCAGGAACTCAAGTCTGCACCAGGGAAAACTACAACTCCCATCATGAAGCTGGGGCTCCAGTTTCAAATCGGTTTTGTGGACATAACCAGCATTACAAGGGAGCGAGCACCTCTGCCCTGGCCATGGGAAGTGGAAGGGAAGAGACACTGGACGTTGAGGGGAGGGAAACTACAATTCCCATGATGCAATGTGCTTGGGAAGAAGGTGGACGTTAGAAAAGGACGAGCCTAAGGTTGGACAGTTACCAGATGTTAAGAAAGGCACCCAAGAAAGTGCCGAATGCTCCAGGTATGGACTCAAATTGCGTCCGCACTGCAGAGCTAACCTAGTTTGGCACCGCTTTGTCCCCCAGGGTTCAATGGAATTCTGGGATTGGTAGTTTGTTGTGGCAGCAGAGCCACCCATGGGGCTTTTTCCTTGCCAAGCTTTGCTCAGAGGGGATTTGCCATTCCCTGGGGCTGAGAGAGTGCGACTTGACCCAAGGTCACCCAGTGTGTTTCCGTGGCCATGCTGGGACTCGAACCCCGGTCTCCAGAGTCATTGCACTTAAAGTCCAACACTCAAACCACTCTGCCACGCTGGCTCTCAATAACAAACTAAGGACGTTCCACTTTAAGTGCAATGACTGCCTCCTGTTGCATCTTGGGATTTGCAGTTTAGGGAGGAGGCATTAAGAATATTCAGCCAGGGAGCTCTTAGGCCTCACTGAACTACAAGCCTCGGGATGCAACAGGAGGCAGCCAGACCACTTAAAGTGGAACAGCTGCACCATAAGAGTGCAGTGCGGTAATCTCCTTACTAATTAAACCAGTACCAAACGAAAACCGGAAGGAACTACAGTTCCCATCTTCCCGTGGGAGATGTGATTGACAGTTAACCGGCCCGAGGTCTCTGACGTCAGCGACCGGAGGGCAGAGTTTCCGTCTTGTGTTGGGTTCCCCCCCTCCTTCGCCAAAGTGGTTCTCTGCGCCTGCGCGCTTCCGGGCCATGGTTGCTGACGGCGGTAGTTGTGGCAAGGCGAGGTGACACCCGCTGAGGGACCGTTGCGGACCCTTTCTCTCTCTCTCTGTCTCTTTCTCGTCAAAGGCCCGGCTGGTTTGCGCAGTGAGTTGTCTTCTTGTTGTTTGCTGTTAACTGCCCTGGAGTCATGGCGACCCTGTAATGAGGCACCTCCTAGCGCCCCTGTCCTCCTTCAATGCTTTACTCAGACCTTCCAGACTCAGGCCCATGGAGTCCAGACCTCTGGCGTGTGGCCTTCCTCTTTCTCCGCTGCCTCCTGCTCTTATTCCCAGCATTAATTCTCTTTCCCAGTAACTCCTGCCCTCTTATGATGTGGCCAAAGTACGACAGCCAAAAATGAAAGGGAGAAAAACTCAC